AAATGGAGGGAGCGTCGGGTTTTCATTTTTGGTGAGCGGCATTCGGCAAGCCTTATGTAAAATCAAATTTTCAGAAGTCCTAGACGGGTCCAGGGTTGAAAAGCCGCGAAGCGGTTTTTCAACCCTGGTGTACCTACAAAATTTAAGAATTTTTGAGGGTCTGGTTGAAAAGTTAGAGAGGAATGAAATTTTGTATGGAGAAATTTCGTAAATTTTTAATATTGAAAAAACCTATGGCGAAAACCTCAAAAACAGTTGTTGTGGAATACCTACGAACCCGTTACAGTCGCATTAAAACCTTGAAAAAATTTTTGAGATCGATGAATTTTCGAGTTTTTCAACGACCCCCTGGTCATGGATTTTTCAAGGTCCGGAAATCGAACTTTGGAAAAATTTTTTAGACCAAAAATCCGAATTTTCCCACCTCCCGTTCTAGAACGCACAATTTTCGGTCGTAACCAGCCTCAATAGTACAGTTTCGTACCCGAAAATCGAAAAAATCAAGTTGTGTTAAACCTTCATGCCCAGCATATTTAAGCATTCTGGCATGGTAACGTACCTTCGATTCTCTACCGTTCGCGAGTTATTTCGGCCCAAACTGTGGCCTTTTTTTTTGCACACCCTGTATTTAACTGCATAAAATAAACTTCAGAAAAACGAAGAATAGAGAAAATAGTGCTATGTATTTCCAGTCTGGGCTGCTGGCTGACGTGCGGCCACCTCTACGAGTACACCTACCACGGCACGCTCGTCGCCACCGCTATCGCCTCCTTCGCCGTCCTCTACACGATCACCGCCAAGCGACGATACAATACGCACAGCGATTAGGCGTCGATAAAGCATTAATGGATGGTAGATGATTATCAGTTCCTTTTAACGCGCTTTTAATGACCACCCGCACGCAATTTCCCTGTATTTTGTAGTGTTTTGTAACATCCAGTATAATTTGAGTTTTTCGATTTTTAAGGTATTGTTCATCCCTATTCGGGATGTGCGCCGATCCCCGCGCTACGTGCAATGCGGGGCCGACGCTATTCGGCGAGAAGCAAGCTTCTGCTAGCCGAACCATTTCCAAAAATATGTTAATCTCGTTGTACACAATAGTGTACGTATCGGAGATTAAGCCGATAAGAACATAAACTACAAATTGATCTAAGCCAGGGGCCAGAAGCGATACCTTCTAATTGACAAAAAAGGTATTACTACAGGGCAGTGGGCCAGATGCGGGGCGAGTCGGTTCCCTGCGTCGCTAGAGGGCAAAAGTCATTTGTATCTCGACTCACTCTGGTGCTACAGGGCTGTAAAGTATACGAGCAATACTTGTCTTTTTCTGTAAATTATGGATACGCTACGTTTTGTACCGAAATGTTAGCGGAAACTCAACGTAATGGAGGTAGAAAAGTCGAAATCTCGACCGGGGCTAAGCTAGACAATCGCCAAAATCCAACTCCAGAGTACTATTTTATTCCCATGCACACAAATTCACGCGATTAATCACAAGACACGTCGTAGCAAAAATTAAGCTTTAATCCCGGTGGATGATCAATTGCCGTCACGCAGCCACCCGGCCACCGTCAGCTCCTTCTGCTTCTCGAGCTTCTTGCCGAGCACCTTGATGTGGTAGCAGTCAATGTCGTACGGGCGGTCCTCGTGCAGGTAGAACTTGTTTTCTGGAAATGGAAAATTTGGTTAGCTAGTAGAGATTCTTAGAGAATCACCGCCAAAGAGGGAAAGCTAGCAGAAATCTTTGGAGAATCAGAGTTAAATGCAAACTGGCTGAGAATATTAGCGAAATTCGCGGTAGGGCGAGCTAGCAGAGCTCCCTAGAGGATCCTGACCCACCGGGAAACGGCTTGAAGCACCCGGTGCACGTCAGACATCCATGGTGCCAATGGTCGCCGAGCGCCTTCCACGCGTGCGCACCCACCGGCTTCTTACAGCCTAAAAGCTGCCCTAGCGCTACGATATCGTAATTCTACCGGCACACGGCGGCGTCGTGTCGTCGAGGTGGCAGTCGATGCAGATCGGCCGCTGATCGGGAGTTGTCCTAAAGGGAGTCTCTATCTCCCTCACTCTCACTCTCTCTCTCTCTCTCTTCTCTCTCTCTCTCACTCTCGCTGTCTCTATCTCGCGCTCGCTATCTCTCCCTCCCTCTCCCTCTCCCTCTCTCTCTCTCTCTCTCTCTCTCTCTATCTCTCTCTCTCTCTCGCTCTCGCGCGCGCGCTATCTCACTCTCTCTCTGTCTCAGTATCTCTCTCGCTCTCGCTATCTTTTTCTCATTTTGTAGGTACATCTACAATCCGAAATGACAAAATCCGATAGATTACGGTAACGTCCAAAGTATTGCCTCGTATTACCTCCACTCAATACCCTCGAACGCAAAAATCTTGACGTGGCACTTGGCGCACTTGATGCAGTCGCGGTGCCAGTAGTTGTCCATCGCACGGATGATGCGAGAGGCGCCTCGGGATGGCTGAAAAATGAGAGAATTGAGGGAGCGAGAGAGCGAGAAAGAGAGCGAGAAAGAGAGAGAGAGAGGGAGAGAGGGAGAGAGATACCGACATCGACGTCTTCGCGACGCAGCGGCTTCGAGCACCCGGCGCAGTGGTAGACGAGGAAGGTGCGGTCGCGGTTGGCGAATTGTGACTCTTCCTGAGGATTGGGTGATAGAGCGAGAGAAAGAGAGCGAGAGAGAGAGAGAGCAAGAGAGAAATTCTGACTCACGTAGACTTTCTGGTAGAAGGTGCCGCGCGCTTGTCCCCGAGGCAACGGCGTCTTCTTCGGCGTCGAGGAGCCGCCCATCAGAACTGGAAATTTATGACTTTTTGCGAACGATTTCCTAAAGTAGAATATGAAGCGAAACAAAGGAAATACAAGATTCAAATATCAAAATACCTCCAAAAAGGAACCAGACGCTCAAAAAAGTGGTAGCTTTGGAACTTCGGGGTTTTTTGCTACCGCTGTTCCATTTGCTGCTTCCGGTATGCAACGGAGCATCAAAACAGAGTTGCATTCAAAGCTGAAAATTCGAAATTTTTTGAGCAAGACGAGGGCTACGCTGGGGAAAACCCAAAGCGTCTTTTCAAATTCTCTCATTTTGCGACTTTTAGCAGCAGAATTTTAATTTATTTGGAGTTTTCATTTTTTCTAGATATAAAACCGAGAAATCCGAATATTTTTAGGAGTATAACAACGTATCAAGGAAGGAAAACCAGGGCGCCTTTTCTATTCTTCATTTGTCCCAATTTTTCCGTTTTTTAGCACCTTTTTCTTTTTAAATTTGTTAATTTTTTAGATGTTTTGCGCTAAATTTTATACGTGCTATTTCGTAGCTTGACCTTCCCAAATTTTCGTGATTCATCAAGTTTTGAGCCGCATGATCTCAAATGATTCAGCCCTCCGCTGTGCCAATGGACGCCTTGCCGCAAAGATCACACCTTTTGGTTCGGCGAATTGTGATTCAAAAAGACGCCGCCCGAAGGTCTGCAAGACGAAAATTCGAAATTCTGAAATCCAAAATTCTGAATTTCAAATCAATTCAACCTCGATAAAAATCGCCCTGTTTGATCTGTGAACTTGTTGAAGATGCTGGGAGCCGGCGGTCAACTTTTTGTTTTGCTATTTCTTTTTAGCAGCCTTGATTTGGCGCTTGGCGGCTGGCAGGAAGTGGCCGTTCAGGTAAGTGTCTTAGTAAAAGCAAATTATGTAAAACTCTCAAATTTTCGCTTCTTCGGGATACAGTAAGAATCCTCAACGATCCCTGCTAGTTTCCCTCAAGCTAAAAATTCGCAAAAATGTTCCGTTGACCCGTTGCGTAGCTGCGACGTTAAGTGTCGCGTAACGTGTCGAGTAATACCTTGCGTTATGAGTAGCGTCGCGCGAATAGCTGCTTGTCAAGTTATGAGTAGCGCGCTAAATGTCGCGTTTTGTGTCGCGTGGCGTGCCGTGTTGTCCGTGGAGTTGCGTAACGTATCACGTTACGTTCTGCGTCGCGTTGCCTGTCCATTTGTGCGTCCGGTTTTACCTTATGAATGGCGTTACGCTTAGGCGTAGCGTGCTGCGTTGCGCGTCTCATCGCGCATCCCGCCGCGTAAAACCTCACTAAACGCTTTGCGTGGTGCGTTCTGCCACGCGCTACGTGCCTCGTTGCGTATCACGTCGCTGGTCACGTTGCGATTTGGGTTGCCTGCTTGGCAGTGTGTTGCGCTACGTGCTGCGTGTCGTGATGCGTCTCCCGCCTGGCTTCCAGCGTTGTGCGATGGCTGCCGCGTTGCGAAACGCGTCGCGTCGCGTCTCGGGTCGAGTGTCGCGCTTAAAATTCAATAGTCAACAAAATCCATAATTTTCTTTGCGGTCCCGTTAAAGTCCACGTTCAGTCTGTCGCGTCGCGAAACCTGTCGCGTGGCGTTTAAAAGTTAGGGTTCCCTCTTAAAAGTCCATTTTTAGGGCACAATCCTGTGCGATGGCGTGCCCTTCTGGGGTGCCACGGTGAGGTTGATGGAGCGGGATCTTGGCAACATTAGTGGGTGTATCTTGTTCTCTTTCGTAAATGCCAAATTTTGCTATAGTCGACCTCGACGACATGTACGACGAGACCAAATCCGATCCTACGGGCAGGTTCGAGGTTCGGGGTGGGGAGACCGAGGTGGGGCTGCGATCTCTTCGAAATTTACCAAAATTCAGTTCCTAAGCATCGAGCCGTACCTGAGAATCGAGCACAAGTGCGTCAGGGGCGATGCGGTAAGCTAAAATATCAAAAATGGCGTTAAAAACGAGCGCTAAAATCCTTTATTTAGTGCCGTTTTTACTCGAAAATCAGAAATGCCTCTCGTAATCGGTTTCTCGACGACACTAACCCTTTAAAACGTGTTTTTCAGCCCTGTGGTGCTAAGATAAACATGCAAGTCCCACCCGAAGCCATCAACGCTCCGGTTTTCAAGCTGCCGCTAATTGAGCTTGCCAAATTCGTAACGTCAGAATTTCCATTTCTATTCCGAGTTTTAGCCATACACCGCGGTGAGATGCCCGTGAGGGGGACCCAGCCGGACATATAGCCACAAATAAAGCTAAATAAAGATAACTGTACCAGGAACGTAGCAAGCAGGCTTGTTTCTATCGGTTCCGGTCCCGCCCCGTGGGTGTAGTGCTTCCACGTGGGTGCAGTGCAGGCTTCTTAAGCTGGGGCCTATGCTTAGGCTTACAGTATTTTGGTCAGGATGGAAATTCGGGTGAGGACCAAGCCTATCTTCTGCAGAACCTTTCGCTGATTCCAGATCACCACCAAACCTTGTTTTCTAATTTTCTAAACCTTAAGGATATATATAAAAAACATAGTGTGTGTGTCTGGGTAGATTTGCATCCACTTCCGGATGTATGTTCCGCTCATAACGGGTCAGGGAAGAAGTTTTCGGACATGTTTGATACGTCATTTGATGCGTGATGGAGTGGAGATGACTGCCGACCTATTAGATTTTTTTAAACTTTACTATTTTCGACATTAAATTTAGGTTTTTGTGAAAGGAAGTTAGTTAGGCAAAATTTACATGCGCCGGGAGTGGATATTGTCTATAAAAATCAGGCTACAGAGGAGATTTCCCATTTTTGTTAGCGGGATTTGGGCAGAATATGCAAAGTATTTTTGTGATCTTACCTAGACGAGGCCCAGGAGTGAAAAGCCGCGGAGTGTTTTTCGCGCGTTGCGTGCGGGTGCGCGGAATAGCAACCGATTTTTAGCTGCGCAGGCCTGCTTTCGCAATTGCGCGACGCGTCTATTGCACGCGTTGCGGTCTTCCCTCCTTTCCAAAGCTACCGGACGTTTTGTTAGGACCAGAGAGCAGTTAGTGTGGCAGAGACATTTTCTTTCCAGCGCCTAACCGATTGATTATGCCGTCGGCATCCCTTTAAGCTGAGGTTAGGCTTAGGGCGAGGCATAGGCTTATGTTTTCCGTTCGGCTTAGGCTTAGGGCTTATATTTTCATAACAAACAAAAATGTGGGTGTAAAAGTACCAATGCTTAGGAGACAGACAGACGGAGAGAGACAGTGAGAGAGAAATTGGGCGTTTATTCTGATAATCCATAACACCGTGGTCCTCACTTCGCATCACTTCGAACACGCCCCAATTTTGCAGTCAAGATACCATATGAAATTTGAATGCAACAGCTGGCATCTGAGAGCGTTCATCATGTTTCATCATCTTAGGCCACCACCGCCCAGAGCCTCCGGCAATTTTTCATTCTAGCGCCCAGTCAGGGTTCCTCGCTGCTACTCGGCCCCCATCATCGTCCGGGTGGCGCTGCTCATCTCTTTCCCGTAAGCAATTTGCATAGGGGTGCGAGGCTGGGATTTTTTCGCAAGGCTTCACAGCTTTTACTGACCTCGTACCGGTTTCACAGCCAACTTCAACATTCCAGATGCCACACGCCTGTGGTCATACGCCCGCTTTCCTGGATCTATGGCCGGTGAAAAGTATCTACCAACCCGGAGTTGAGTACGAGAAGCGGGAGAATGTCAAGCACCGCCTCGATGATCTGCGGTAGGGCAGTGCCAAGCATCTAGACAATCATCGACCTTTATAGCCCTGATCAGCATGTTCTCATCGCAACCAAAAATTCCCGTGGAACCTGGAAGTGGAAAGAAGCAAAAACCGGACCGATCGGCCCCAAGGGTCGCCTGCCGATCTTATATGCTTGCCGCCAGTCTGACGGCCTTCTGACGTGGAAAGAGCGACGAGGGCGCAAATGGGGGATTCCTCATTGTCCCCATGATGCCGTGAGAATTGCGGTAAGAGTAACTGACGAGCAAGTCTAGGACCCCCTGGCCCCCCTATCAGCACCGATTTTTTGATTTACACAAACGACTTCTAAATTGGAGCTTTTGATTGCTTTCTATTATCAAAATTGACAGAAACCGACCCGTGAATGACCATTTTTCGGCAAATTTCTCAAAATCGGCTCGCTAATTGCGAAAACATGGCCAAAAATGAGTACCAGCGTTTCCCAAAAATCAGTTTTTTAGCGATAGCTTTTTTGTTTTACAATCTTTTTACAAGAACCGTAAACCGCGCACTTACCACGAGGTTTCACACGCAACTCCGGCATTCCAGATGGCCATCCAACCTGTGTGCGGCCACACCGCAGCTCTCCTCGCGAATTGGCCCGCCCAGAGCCAGTTCGTCCCGGGCATCACGTACATCCAGCGACCGCACGGAGCTCGTCGACTGGAAGGATTATTGTGGGAGTGTCAGCTACTAAAGAAAATTATGGACATCTTTAGCGAAGGGCTCCACATCCTCTTGGCCGTCAAGAACACGCGCGGCGTGGCGTGCTGGAAAGAAGCAAAAATCGGGAAAGTCGCCGGAAGACGGGTTCCGGTGCTGTACGGGCAGAGGACCGCGGATGGGAGCGTCACGTGGAAGGAGCAGAAGGGCAGAAAGCGCGGAATTCCAAGATGCGTCCATGACGCCATCCGAGTTGCGGTAAGAAGTTACAAGTTGTCAGGCTTACTGAAAAATATCGGCCATGCTCTTTGGTAGGAATTAAGGTTCTGGTTCGTTAGCGGGGGAGGAGCCGGAGAATTTTTGCCGGTAGCCTCTCCTATCTTAAATTATATGATTTTAAGCTGGGTATTATGACATTTTTTTCTTATTTACCCCGATAGCGTTAACAGAATGTCAAAAATGTCGAAAATCTC